CCAATCTCGCCTAACCTCGCCTAACCTCGCCTGATCGCCTAATCTCGCCTAATCTCGCCTCACCGCCTCACCTCGCCCCACCCCGCCTCATTTCACCTCATCTCTTTCTCTAGGCTACTCCGAGACCGACCCGAGACCGACCCGAGACCCGAGATCGACCCGAGCTCGACCCGAGATCGGCCCGAGATCGACCCGAGATCGACCCGAGATCGACCCGAGATCGACCCGAGATCGACCCGAGATCGACCCGAGATCGACCCGAGATCGGCACGAGCGATCAACCCAACAATGCCCCAAAGCCCCCTCTCTGGGGGACCCCCCCTCACCCCGAGTGTCCGTGTCCTTCGCGAGTCACCGATGGGGAGCGGGGGGGGGTGCGAGATGCACAGGGGAGGCTGGGGAGGGGGGGGTCCACTCTGAAGACTGCCGACCGCGGGGGGGTTTTGTCCCACAGGGTTTTACCCTCCGCGAGAGGATCGGCGCGGCGAGGGGGTAGGTTCGAATTCGCCGCGCAACATTTCACCCCCACAGGACCCCGCCCACCCCCCCTCATGGTCCCACCTAGTACCCCAATGAGCCTTCGCACCCCCTCCTTGCGCAGTGTCCCCCACTATGTGTCGCCGTTATCGGGGCATGCTATCCTGTGTAGTCAGGGCAAGTGGGGGCGAGGCGCAGTCCCTTTGACGTATGTATCTCTGGGTTCTGTCCCTAGTCTCGGAGGGGGGCTTGAAGCTAAGAATATTTTATTTTTAATAACGGCAGTATTGGAGAAAACGGCGCGGAACCCAGCGACGCGTGCCGGCGAGGCCGATTTTCTTAAACGGTCTTAAAAGAGGGACCCCCCGTGCCTGCAATCTCTTAAATGGCAAGTTAAGCCCCCAAACCTCCTCGTTTCTTAAAAGGTCTTAAAAAATCCGGCCCTCAGAACCCTAGGGGTCCCCTAAGAATGTTACTTCGCGCGCGCTTTTGACCCCGCGCAAGACAAAGGGTGGCTAAGGGCTCTGCCCGCAAGGCGCCCGCGTCGCCGACGCGGTACCATTGACTAATCCCGGAATACAACCCATACGACCAAATAGCGAAAATCCGAATACCGTGCAAAAAGAGCTACATACACTAAAAAAAAAACTCGGAATCTGGAACGAAGAGCGTCGGGGCAAGTTTGGCCTAACTCCATAACATGGGCGATCCAGCGCTTCCTTCGATTCGACGGACGAAATGGTCGCGGAAAAGCGGGACCGCATCGCGACATCGGGGGTTCACCATATATGCCGAGCCTGCTCGGCCTGCCATGCGCGCGCGCCTCGCCCGAGCGCAGCCACCTGCGGACCTGGCCAGCCTGTTCCTGGAGCGGCCGCACATTGCTCGGTACCCCCCCTGCACATCTAAAGCCATCCCTGCTGCTGGGGGGGGGGTCTGACCCCCCCAGCAGCAGAGCTCAAGTGAGGGCCGCGGTCGCGGTCGCAGCCAGCGCGCCGGGCCTGGCTAGGGCTGCCGGGAGTGATCTCGATCCACGCTCCGGAGCGCGCGTGGTGCTTGAGCAGCCGGGCGGTTGCCGCGGCCACCTCAAACGGCAGCTCGTCGAGCCACTCGGCAAAGGTGCCCTCCTCTTGCGCCGCAGCCAGGAATCGTTCGCCTAGGCCGTAAGCGCGGCAAGCCCGGAAGAGTGCCTCGATCTGGATCTCCTCCGGCGCCTCGGAGTCGTAGCCGCAGAGGGAGGAGCCGGCAGAAGAGGCCCGCTTCGCAGGCGGCGCGTCGGGCGACGACGAGCGCGAACGCCGCTGCAAATCAAGACACAGAGCTGACACAAGTCAACCGATTTCTTTTGCGACGCACTCACCTCGGCGCCAGGGTCTTCACGGCCATGGCACCCGGCTGCTCGTCATTAGACCCCATCCTCTCCGCGCTGGCTCTCCCTCCTGCCACCACGGCTGAGGGGCTGCGCGCCGCGCAGAAGGACGAGTTCCACGGCAACGAGTTCTCCCTGCTCGTATCGCACGCACTCGGCGCTCTCGCCGGCCCGCAGTGGGTGCAGAAGCACCGCGAGGAGGTCCGGGCGGCGGCGCGCCTCGCCTACGGCGGCCTCTCGACGGCGCGCCTCGCGCAGACGCCGGGCGAGGAGTACTGCGACATCACGTGCGTAGACGCGGCCACGGGCCAGCCGCTGCCGCTCCGCCGCCGCTGGATCGCCGTCTTGATTGGGGCGCTGACGCCGTACCTTGCTCTCCGCCTCGAGGCGCGGCTCATCTCCGCGGCCCGCTCCTCCGAGTCGCCCCTCGCCGCCGCCCTCGCCGCGCGGCTCGGCTCGTTCGGCGAGGCGCTCCGCCGGCTGCAGCTCGCTCTCTTTTGGCTCGGCGCGCGCCCCGTCGGCTGGTCGACGTGCCGCTCGGCATCGCGCACGTGCGGCACGGCGCGCGGGCCGGGTCGGCCTCGTCGCCGTACCGTTCCCTCGGCCTGCTCATGCTCTGCCAGCTCGCCCTCTCCTCCCTCGCCCTGCTCGCAGAGCTCCGTGCCGCCGCCTCCGCCCGCAGCCGCCTCCGCGCAATCGCGTCTGCCGGCGAGCGGCGAGGGCGGGCTGCCTGCCGCCTGCCGCCGCTCCCCTCCTCAGCGTGGCCGCCCGCGCGCGCAGGAGAGGCGGACAAGGAGCGGAGAGCTGCCCCTCCGCCGCCCGCCGCCGCCGCCGAGTCTGCTCGCCGGCGCACGGCTCCGCTCTGCTCGCTGTGCCTCTCTCCGCGCCGCCAGCCGACCGCGGGCGTTTGCGGCCACATCTTTTGCTGGGAGTGCTTCCACGCTTGGGCGCGGCCGCACCGCTGCCGCCGCCGCCGCCGCCCCGAAGACACGCGTCCACGCCCCCAAATCCTCTGCCGCCGCAGGTGTCCGAGAAGCCAGAGTGCCCGCTCTGCCGCGAGGCGCTGCAGCCGCAGGCGCTACGTTGCCTGCACGGAATGGTCTGACTGATCTTTTTTTCAGGTTTGATCTCAAATAAAGCAGAACCGACACGACGCCGGTGTGACTGGTGAGCGCGGTGTTCGCCTCACCACTCGCGTCCCCGACGCGCAGCGGCCAGCGCGGTGCGCGCTCGCGGCTCGGAACCTCAACGCTCACAAGTCTCAGCCCACGCGCTACCGCACGCCCACGCCTCGATCTTCTTGGGCAGCAGCTGGTTCGACAGGTCCTCTCCGTGGCCTAGGCAGCCGCTCTTGCCCGCGCCCCAGGTGAAGACGGTGCCTTCGGCGGAGATGGCGAGGCTGTGGTCGGTTCCCGCCGACACAGCGACGACGCGCTGGTCAGCATAGGCCTCGACCTTCTTGGGCAGCAGCTGGTGCTGCTCGTCGCCGTGGCTCAGCTTGCCATAGAATCCTTCGCCCCAGCTCCAGACAGCGCCGTCGGCAATGAGGGCGAGGCTGTGGTGCTCTCCAGCCGACGCGGTGATGACGCGCTGGCCAGCCAAGGCCTCGATCTTCTTTGGCTCCAGCTGGGCCTGCCGGTCGCCGTGGCCCAGCTTGCCAGAGGCTCCACCACCCCAGCTCCAGAGGGCGCCGTCGGCGGTGAGGGCGAGGCTGTGGCTAACTCCAGCCGACACAGTGACGGCACGCTGCCCAGCGAAGGCCTCGACCTTCTTCGGCAGCAGCTGGTTCTGCTGGTCGCCGTGGCCCAGCCGGCCAAAGACTCCCAAGCCCCAGCTCCAGACGGCGCCGTCGGCGGTGATAGCGAGGCTGTGACCATCTCCAGCCGACACGGCGACGACGCGCTGCCCAGCAAAGTCCTCGATCTTCTTTGGCAGCAGCTGGCGCTGCGCGTCGCCGTGGCCCAGCTTGCCCCCACCTCCATGGCCCCAGCTCCAGAGGCTGCCATCGGCGGTGAGGGCGAGACTGTTGTCGCATCCAGCCGACACGGCGAGGACGCGCTGGGCAGCAAAGGCCTCGACCTTCTTGGGCAGCAGCTGGTCCTGCTCGTCGCCGTGGCCCAGCTGGCCGTCACCTCCACTGCCCCAGCTCCAGACGGCCCCGTTGGCGGTGAGGGCGAGGCTGTGCGCGGTTCCAGCCGCCACGCTCACGGCGCGCTCGCCACCCAGCGGAGAAGGGAGGCGGGTCGGCGTGTTGAGCTGCGTCACGCCCTCGCCGTGGCCGAGTAGCCCAGGGAAGACTGCCTCATTGCCGCACGACGAGAGCCGCCCCTCGCCGTCGATGAAGACGCTGTGCCGCCAGCATGCCGCCGCCCTCGCCGGCGGGTTGGACTCGCGCAGCAGCGCAGCGAAGCACAGCCACTGCACGGCGCAGCTCTCGCCCTCTGGCTGCGCCGGCAGCTCGTAACCGCGCTCTTGCCCCCACAAG